CCCCAAAACCCCAAAACCCCAAAACCCCAAAACCCCTTTTCACCGAATATAATTGAGAAATTTAACAATCTTTTTATATAAATAAATTTCTTAAAAAATGGATTTGAAGAGGGAGTTGGAAAAGGACTTCAGTGATCCAAAGGGTAAGTCAAAACTTCCTATCTCTTGAGTCAGGAGCAAGATTTCTTCTTAAAAGGAAGGCTTGACTCCTTTTTGTGGAAATATTGAGAAGGAGTAATCCTGAAAATCGATTTGAATGAAAGATTCACAGTCAAATTTCATATAGATTTGAAGAAAGCCATACAAAAGATTTGAGAAAGAAAAGGATGGAGTAAGTGATCAACCTAGAAAGACCAATAGACAATTTAAATAGGTTTATTCAAGTTTAAAGAGACTAAAGACAATATCTCATACTGTAAAGATTTTCCATTAGTCTTCTCAATTTTGTTATTTTATTGTCATACTTTGTTACTGTTTTAAGAATAGTAATCACTACTAAAATTGTTTCAAGAAGCTTAGATAGAGTTGAGACGTTGAATTTTTATATTATAAGACTCCTTAGTCTAAGAAACAATTTGAGTAAAATTTCATGCTCATATTCCTTTATTTTAGCCATCACTGGATTCTTAACCACTGTATTAATATTTTAGCAATCTTTTTATCAGATCTTTGGAAAATTCCAAAATTAGGTCACTTCATAGATGTTGAATTATTAAATGGAGGTTTAACACAAGTTTTAGAGGAACATGCAGCTTTCTTTTCCTTTCTTTTAGTCTATTGTGAGATTAGTTTTCCTTAGCTGAAGAAAATTTTAGGATTCAACCTTCTATCCTTCATTTTCGAATGGATTAAAAGGCAAATCAGGTTTGAAGAAATTAATTCTGTCTCAAAACGATCTTAGAGATTACTATAAAATAAGAAAACTGTTATATAAGCTTGTATTATTAAGCCTCATTCCCTCTCTTGAAGTTGTAACTTATGCTCAAACATTTTGAGCTTATTCAAAATATTATTTACCAGAGTAGCTTTCTAAAGAAGCCTAACTATTGAAATTTGTTTCTTTCCTTATGAAATCCCCTTATTATGAGCTAATACTGTTTCCAGAGTGTCTTAGAGTAAATTTGATTGAGAAATAAGCAGGAGAACGCCTATACAATTTTCTTATTTAGCTCTCTTATATGACTCCTCCTGAATTTTCTCTATAATCCTTAGTTTAAAACTTGGGGAGAAATTGTCATTAAATTTTGAGCCACTCATTTTTCAAGTTTGAATTGTAATTTAAAGTTTATCTAAAGCCTAAACACATTTGAGAATGTAGTACTTTATTGAATACATCCTTACTGTAATGTTGGACATAAGAACTGGTGCTTCTATACTTAGAAGAATAAAGCTACCTCTGAAACTAAAATCAATTAACTCTTTCTATAGGAGTTGAAGATATGAAGAATCTGAATCTGACAGAAGATGATATACCCAAATCACTTACAAGACATATAGTCTGGGAAAAGGAGCAAAAATAAAGCTATTAAAGAGTACCAAAAGTGATTGGTAAGTTTACACTCAAGCTTTATTAGGAATCATACCAGGAATTTCTTGACAATTTTACTTTGGATGGCTACAAGTCTGATAAGCTCAAGGATGCTTTAGATGAGGCAAGAAAAAGAAAAGAGGGTATTACTCTTTTTGATTTAATAATTTTAGAGTTTAAAGCTGAGGTTAAGCAGATAAAAGGTAAGTGATAGGCTTTAGTCTTTACATATTAATGAAAAGATAAAAAACCCTCTAAAGCTGGTTTTCTGTTATAATTGTTAAATTCGAAATCAGTTTTGTATTTGCTTTGATTGTGACAGCAAATTAGGTTTGGAATTAAAGTACATTTCTCAATCTTCTGAAAGTTTATAAGTTTTGATAAGTTTTCATTTGCTAGTATGATTTGTGACTAGATATTATTAACATTATTAGAATTAGTTATACTTCAGTGATAAATGTATTCCTTTTTAAGATAAAGAAACGCTCAAATTATTGTGGCTTAGCCAGCTAATATTGCTGTCCAATTCAAGATTAATTTATGATTTTATGCTCAATGAGGTTTATTGAAAGCTGTTATTTATTTTTAAGATTTTTAATGTTGCAGAATATTATGCATGCAAGTTTTGCAAAGTTTATCGTAGCTGACTGTTTAAATCTTCAAGAATATTTTGAATAGTCAATCAGTTATAACAAATTATTTGCTTTATTAATATATTTTATGCATCATATAGAAAAATACCCAACCAAATTCCAGAATCTAAATGAAGAAGAAGAGGTAAATAATTTGAAAAGTTGCTTATATTAAATAGCAATCAAAACTTTGTATTTTAAACCAGTTGGCTATTTTAGCACCTTTTAGGTTGATAAATAAATTATTTTAATAAACCCACAGAATAGAACAATATTTTATCCATTATTTTGCATCTTGACTTAATATTTTTGAGTTGGTAAATTTTATCCTATTTGATTTCCAAAACTATCTAGCAACTCTGATTGATAGTTTTACTTCTATATAGCTAAAAATAATGTCAGATGCCTTGGAAAATGCTGAGGCTTGCACCAAAAAACTTGAGAAGATTGAGGAAAAATAAAAGTAAGAAAATTAAATAATGCTCCCTAGGAGCAATGAAATACAAAAATAATGTCAGTTTCTTTTTTAGTCAGTTTTATTTTGCCGAGTACCTTACCGGTTAGAATAATACAAATACTTTCCTCTTTCTTAATTAAAACAGACAATATTTTCTTTGAGATTTTGTCTGAGTTTAATTTAAATTCTTTCCTTTACGAATTTGCTCTTTGATATTCATTCATGAATTCTTTTAACAATAAAAAATAGATGAAGAGATGAATAACATGATTACTAGATATTATGAAACGTATGAAACTCAAAAAGAAGAGGTTGATTCAAGCCTGAAGTCTTTTGAAGGTGACTTGAAAAAGAAAACAAACGAATTGAAGGGAAACCTTTTGAAAGTAAATGAGAATAGCAATTTTCAAACTTCGCGACAGTTGTCGAAGCGATATGTTTAATATAGGAAGGGGTTTACTATTTTAGTGATAAACTTTGTAAAGTCTTTTAACATCCATCATTTTCTAAATGGGCTGCAAAGAAATTTTATACCTTTTTTTTCTAAATTAAGTTAGGTTCAATTCTATTTTTATATTTCTTTCCTAGATCCTAATTGGCTAGATATTTTCCTTCTCTGTGCTTTTATTGCCAGTGTCTGGTAATTTTAGAAATAATATCTTCTACAGGCATAATCTTATATTTAAATTTAGAGTACTGGTCAAACATTCAGAGAATTCAGAGAAATATTTAAGGTATGTACAATTATGTTCTTCTCGTCGTTTGAAAGAGCAGTTTCTTGAAATTAATCATATAAATCTTTATGAATAACATATAAAATACTTTAAGAAAGGTATTTTATTGATTCATTTTGAAAACCAACTACATATAGATCAAACTATAGAGTTTGTATCCAAAATTGTTGTGTTTAATTCTGAATTTCTTAAAATCCAATCTCTTTGTATGCTTAAATAAAAATGAAAACTGTAACATTCTGCTACCAAATTATCTCCAAATAACGGCCTACTTTGATCAGGGTATAATCACTTGTGTTTAGAATTTGACGTCAGAATTAGCTAAGGTAGCTGATCAAAATGCTGAAAGAGAATTAGTAGCCGTTCAGAAAATACAAGAAAGTGAAATTTTGAAGGGCAGCAACCTGTATATTCTATATTATAAATCTACTTTATAGCGTGGTTAATAAAGATAAGGAAACAAAAGAAGAGAAAATTAGTTTTAAAATAAAACCACAAGTTAGTTTAGCAGAGATGTACGCATTATCATATTGACATTTTTTAAATATTTAGGTTACAACAGTTGTATGCCGAAAATTCTGATGCAAGAAGAAATCCTCAGTTTTACATTAAAATAAAAAAATTTCTAAAAGATTTAAAGGCTAAGTAAGTCCACCACTAGCATGCTCATTTGGAAATTCTTTGATCTTTCCTGATCTCTTCTAACTCCTATTGTTTCAACAAAATTGTGCTTCTCTATCTAAAAATTAAATTTTGTTGCAGCTTATTTATCTTTTTTAGTTATCTCTTAACTCCTTATATAGAGTTAAAACAATAAAGAAAAATGCTTCCATAGAATGATCGAAATGAAAAACAACATTTATAGTGGAATGGTCCGATACCAGTTCAGTTATTATTGATCTTATATCAAATCATATTGAGGCAAGGTAATACAAATAAGAAAGTGGAGATTAAAGAGCTAACATTAAAAACATCTATTCTAAAATTTTTTTTTGGTTTCTCAAAAGTTTAACAGTTTTAATATTATAATTAATCTATTTTTTAAGGGAAAAATTAGATGAAAAGACTGAAAACTATGAAAATTATATAATCGGTGCCGAAGATAAATTTCATAGCGAAATTAAGAACTTTAAGGAACTTAAATCAGAACTAGTTTCAAAACATGAATTGAATGCAGAAAAAATCAACAAAGATACATTATCAAAACTTTCAAGAAATATTACTAAGATCCAAAAGATTTCAGAATCATTAAATGAACAGCTTAAAATAATTGAAAATGATAAGGAAAGACAAAAAGACTTGATCAGCAAAATTAATGGATTTCAAAACCTAATCAGGTAGGAAATATGTTTCCTAATTTCATAGCATCACTCAAGAGACCCTTGAAACTTATGTTGAGTGTGGCAATGAGATTAAAGAGGTATGGATATATACTGTTTAAGTCTGCTTTTATTGGTTTCAGCATTTCTAACTTATCTTTGGTAATATTTAAAGTTTCCATAATCTTTAAATTTATTAGAAATCGGAAAAAGAAACTAAATACAGCCAAGCTCTTAAAGAAGTTAAGAATTATGAACAAGACATTGAGTATCTTAAGACTAATAAGGAAAATCTTGATGAATTAATTAAAGGCAAATCAAGACCCTTGAGGAAAAAGAAGATTGACAAAGCTGAAGCAACTGATATTTATACATTTATGTATCGCAAAACAAGAATAACTGTGAGAAAGAACGATCTTGTGCAAGAATATGTGTAAGGATAAGGAATTTTAATTGCCAAAATTATCTAACTATTTCTATAGAGATGCTATTGTTAACCCAGCCAATGAAGAGCTCAATCATGCTGGAGGAGCAGCAAGAGCTATTGCCTCTAAAGCTGGGCCTGAATTTGAGAGAGAATGTGAAGATTATATTTCAGAAAACTATAAATTGAAAACAGGAAGCTCTATGGTTACATCAGCTGGTGGAGAACTTAAATGTGACTATGTTATTCATACTGTTGGGCCGATATACGAAAAGAATAAGAAGAATCATGCAAAAGAATTTGAGCAATTGAAAAAGTGCTTTGAGTCAATATTACAAATAATGATTGCCAGAGACTTTTATGATATATCTATTCCAGCTATTTCTACAGGAATATTTGGATTCCCAATTAAGAAATGTGTCGAAATCTGTGCAAGCACCATTAAAAATATGATTAATGAAGATCCTGACGCATTTAAAGAAAAAGAAATTATTCTTTGTAACTTTGATGATAAAACCACAAGTGTTTTCCAAAAATGAATGAAAAAGTGTATGAATCAAGAAAGCGAAGATGAAGATAGTGACGAAGAAAGAAAAGACGATTACGAAGATGAAGAATCCCGAAAAATGAATAAGAATATTGAGGAGGATTACTTCTCAGACGACAATGGAGCTCTTCAAGACAATCGTGATGAAGCTCTATGCAATAATATGGATAGTGACTACTAAATCATCTGCCCTATCATTTTAGACAGAATATAAAGCTATCTGGTTGGAATAGCTATTGAATTTAGTTCTATTCTGATCTAAAATGTTTGGAGTGTCTAACTCCATTTTTATGCTGAATAAGACATTTACAAAATTATGAAAGTCATTCTTAGAAAATATATCGGGGTTTTGGGGTTTTGGGGTTTTGGGGTTTTGGGG